ATCTATCCAGTGCTGTCAATGGGGTGTTGAAGTCCCCTGCTATGATTGTATTGTTGTCGATTTCTCCTTGGAAGTCCTCCAGAAGATTTTTAATATATTTTGGTGCTCCTATATTGGGTGCATATATGTTTATCAAGGTTATATCTTCCTGTTGGATAGATCCTTTCAATATTATGTAGTGGCCGTCTTTGTCTCTAGTTATGGTCTTCATTTTGAAATCTATTTTATCAGATATGAGAATTGCTACCCCAGCTTTTTTTTTGCTTTCCATTTGCTTGGAAAAATTTTTTCCATCCCTTCACTTTCAACCTATGTGAGTCTTTTGTTGAGAGGTGGGTCTCTTGTAAACAACATATAGATGAGTCATGCTTTCTTATCCAATCAGCTACTCTGTGTCTTTTTATGGGAGCATTCAATCCATTTACGTTTAAGGTGATTATTGATATGTACTTATTTATTGCCATTTTTGTTTAGTGTGGTTCTATTTTTCTTCCCATTTCTGCTGCTAATTACAGCAGTCCTTTTAACATTTCTTGCAATGCTGGTTTGGTGCTAATGTATTCCCTTAGCCTTTTTTTGTCTGGGAAGCTCTTTATTTGACCTTCTATTTTGAATGATAGCCTTGCTGGGTAGAGTAGTCTTGGATTCAGATTCTTGTTTTTCATGACTTTGATTACTTCATGCCATTCTCTCTGGCCTGTAGTGTTTCTTGTGAGAAGTCAGCTGAGAGCCTTATGGGGTTTTCTTTGTAGGTAACCTGTTGCTTATCTCTTGCTGCTTTTAGGATTCTCTCTTTGTCTTTAATTTGTGGCATTTTAATTACTATGTGTCTTGGTGTGGGCCTGTTTGGGTTCTTCTTACTTGGGACTCTCTGTGCTTCTTGAACTTGAATGCCTTCTTCCTTCACCAAATTAGGGAAGTTTTCTCTCACTATTTTTTTTAATATATTCTCTATCCCTTGCTCATTTTCTTCTTCTTCGGGGACTCCTATGATGCGAATATTATTACGTTTCCAGTTGTCCCATAGTTCTCTTAAGCTGTCTTCCTGTTTTTTAATAGTTTTTTCCTTTTGGTTTTCTGATTGGTTGATTTTTTCTACCCTGTCTTCTAATTCACTGATCCGGTCCTCAGCTTCCCCTACTCTGCTTTTTAAACCTTCCAATGTGTTTTTCATTTCTGATATGTCATTTTTTATCTCTTCTTGTTGGTTTTTAATTTCCAATTGGCTTATTTTCAGTGTCTCTATGTCCTTACTCATGCTGTTCAGCTTCCTCAAGATCATGGCTCTGAATTCTAGCTCTGTTAACATGCCTAATTGCTCCACATTGATCTCATCTTCGGTGGAGGTGTCTTGCTCTTTCATTTGGCTTCTGTTTCTGTGTTTCACCATTTTGGCTATCACTGTGGGCTTTGGAACCTGTCAAGTTCTCCCTGTGGGTGTTGGTGTTCTGCTGTTTGTGGCTCCCTCTCCTGTGTTTAGATGAGCGAGGGAGGACCCACGTTGAACACCATTGTCAAGTCTTACTTTCCTGGTTAAAGTCCCAGCCCAGGAAACGTACTGTTATCCTCTAGCTTTTTGCCTGGAGGCTAGCAGTCTAGGTTAATTGATGAGTTTTGGGTTGTCAGTTGATTGAAAAACTCCCTCTGGTGCTCAGCCAAGGGGCTTTCAGGAGGGTGGGGCAGATGCTGGTTGTTAGTGAGCCTCAATTAGCACTTCAATGGCCCACAGGGTGGGGTTGGATCTCCGAGGGAGGGGCTGCTGCCTCTCCCCAGAGCCCTGGGAAGGAGCAATGTGGCCGCTTTCCTGAGTGGCTGCACTCAGCCAAAGCTCCGAGCGCCCTCCAAATCCCAAGTGTCCCGACACAGTTCCAGTTCAGTCCGCCCTCCCTCCGCCGGAGCCCAAGGTGAGTGGCTGTGGCTGTTTCAGCCTCTGTCCCGGCTGCGCTGTGGAGCCGCCTGGGAGTGTGACCCGAGGGCGCCGCTTACAGCTGAGGCCGCTGCCGAGCTGCCGACCGTGGGCTCCCAGCCCCGTCTCACGCCTTCGCAAGCCTACCGGGATGGAGTCAGTGTCCCTCGTTGTATGGTCCTCGCAAGCTGCTTTTCTGTTGGTTTTTCCCGTCGACTTGTCTGTGTTATAGTTGTAATTCCAGTTTGGTTCTGGGAGATGGTCTGTGTAGCTCCGTTCACTCCGCCGCCATTTTTCGGTCTCCCAGAACTGGAAGATTTCAAAGCCTGCCAATAAGTGGGGTCTTGTTGGGGCAGACAACAGGGAGCCATTGCAAGGTCTTGAGCAGGGGAGAACCTGAAAGAAGAGGAGAGGTAGGAAAAGTGATTCACAGCCTTTTGCAGCTGTTTTAATTGTTAATGATGGGCCTTTTTCAAGTCCAGTCAAACAATACTACCTCCTGAAGCTGTTCTTGACCTTCTTCAGAAGGACTTACTTCGCCTCTGGGCTCTCATGGTTATCTCTGGCTGGGTTGTCTCTTTGGAAACCGCTGTACCAGCTCAAGCCTTCCTGGAAATCTCCTTTATTTCTTCCCTGGTTCCCCCAGCCCACAGAGGTTGTGAACCCCATTTATGGGGCTCTGTTCATGGAAGGCAGTGGTTCTCAACCCTGACTGCTCATTAGAATCTCCTGAAAATTATTGTTTGAAATGTCTCTATGCCCAGGTTATATCCCAGATCAATGGCATTGTCACCTCTGGGGTGAAACTCAGTCACAGGGTTGTTTATGAATGTCCCAGGGAATTCCACTGTGCAGTCAGGTTGGAGAGCCACAGACCACCTCTGACAGTCAGGCATCTTGCCCTGGGATCACCGCAGGGCGCTGTGCAACCCTGGGAGGTGTCAGACTGCAGGAAGAAAGCACTAGGATTTCAGTTTATACTTATTTGAAATCTGATTCTTTTTAAATTTATATCCTTTAAAATCAACTTAATGTGGTGGAGCAATAACAATGATAATAATGGTCAGCAGCCCTTGGACACTTACTGTGGCCATGCTGTCTTCCAAAGACTTTACACAAGGGAGTGCTTAGTGCTTCACAAAGACCTGATGAGACGGGTACTGTTACGATCCCCATTTTACAGATGAGAAAATGGAGGCCAGAGAGGTTGGATAACTGGCCCAATGTCACACCACTAAAGAACAGCCGTCCTAAGATTCAAACCCAGGCTGACTCTAGCAGCCACTTATTTATTTATTTATTGAACTTACTGGGGTGGCGTTGGTTAATAAAATTATATAGGCATGAGGTGTATGATTCTATAATACATCATCTGTATATCATATTGTGTGTTCACAACCCCAAGTCAAGTCTCCTTCCATCACCATTATCCCTCGTACCCTCTTCTACCCCCCCCCTTCCCCTCTGGTTCTAGTGGCCACCTCATCACAATGCCAACCTGCTCTCACAGCACATGTGTATTATTTATAAACAAATAAACAATGTACAAATAAGACACAGATATTAGGGGGACCTACTCAACATTTTTTATTAAAAAGGTTTCATAATCAAATAACTAAACCGTGGTGACAGACAATGAGCCCTCGGAGCAAGGTCTGTCTCACTCTTCTTTCTGTTCCCCCCAGCCGAGGAGCTAGCAGGCATCTGGGTCCTAATATATGCTCAATAAATATCTGCCTACTCCCAGAAACATCCACTGATTGATAGTTATAGGAGATGTGGTACATACAGACAATGGAATATTACTCAGCCATAAAAAATGAAATTTACCATTTGTGACAACATGAACAGAACTGGAGGGTACTATACTAAGTGAAATAAGTAAAACGAAGAGAGACAAATACCATATGATTTCACTTATATGTGGAACCTAAAAAACAACAAAATAGAAACAAATTCATAGATATAGGGAAGAAAATGATGGTTGCCAAGTGGGAGGGGGTAGCAGGGCTGGGTGGAATAGGTGACACAATTAAGAAATACAAGTTGGTAGTTACAAAATAGTCACAGGGATGGAAAGTACAGCATAGGGAACATAGCCAACAATATTGTAATAACTCTGCATGGTGTTGGGGGGTACTAGACATATCAGGGGAATCACTTTGTAAGTTATATAAATGTCTAACCACTATGCTGCATACCTGAAACAAATGTAATATTGAATGTCAACTGTAATTGAAAAATAAAAAATTTAAAAATACTAATGTTTATCAACATTTGCTATGTGCCAGGGACTCTCATACTAACCTTCACACAATCCTGTGAAGTAAGTGCTATGAATATATCCATTTGGCAGATGAGGACACTGAGCAGCTCAGTCATTTGCCAGAGTACAGAACATGAACCCGAATTGTGGGACTACAGAGCTCATTCTCTCCCACTGGGGACCAGTCCATAGGGAACAAGTCCTGGGGTGAGGGTGGGGTTGAAAACTGAAGGAAGAGGTACAGGTTGATTGCCCCTCCTTTGCCTGTGGTTCCCTTTGCCAGGAGTGCCTCTCCCTATTTGCCTTACAAGCAAACTCCCACCTACACTTCTGGGCCAGCTCAAAGGCTGCCTCCTTCAGGGAGCCCCCCCCCCCCCCCCAGTTAGTTGCACCTGCTCTGTGGGTCATACCTTATCTTGCTCACTGGAGTTGGAGCTCCTTGAGGGCAGGGCTAGGTCCTACTCAAGGGGCATCCAAGGAGCCGGCTTAGCAAACTTCAACTGGCGTACTGAACCTGTGCCCACCTCTCCTCCCAGGCTAGGGTACCCCAACCCCTGGGTTTTTCTTCTGTGGGCTCTACTTCCCTTTCCTCTTCTTTTCCCTCCTCCTTCCTCCGAACTCATCTCTCTCCTCTCCATACTGTTTTATTCCTTCTCTTTCCCTCTCCTTTGGACCTTTCTCTCCTCCCCAGCCCCCTGTCTCCCGCCCCCGCGCCCTGCGCCTCGTCCTCCGGGCTCTGCAGCTGCAGTTCCCCCGGAGGCCTGCAGAGCGCGCTGCTACGCCGCCCGCTGGGCCGCACCGCCGCGCGCTCTTCCTGTGCGGTCAGGTGGGAGGAAGCGGCCTGGAAGCCGCGGAGAGTGGACGCCGCCAGCCCCGGAGCCGCGCCTGCAGGTGGGTGCCGGGCCCGGGGCGCAGGGAGCGGGGGCGCACCCTTCTCCTACCACGGTCCTGCTTTCAGAGCTGGGCTCGGCGGCCCGGGCAGGGTCCCTCCTGCCCCAGGAGCACCCCATTTCCCCATCGGCAGGGTCAGGTGCACCGAGGGCCGGCGGCGCCCACAGCCCACGCAGGGGGTCGGGATGACAAAGCACGAGGGACCGCGCAGGGCCACAACCCACTTGGCCTTCTGCAGAGGCCGGCAGGCTTCAAAAAGGGGATCCGCCTGGCTCAGGCTCCAGGTCAAGGGCAAGAGATGGGGGGGTCTTCACCCTTTGTGGCGTGTGTCACAAGTGCTTGAGAATTTAAATGAAAACTGTGGCCAGCCTCCTGAGGGAAAAAAGGCCTTTACACAGGCTCAGTTAGAGGCATGTCAGGGTCCCCACCCCCACCTCCAGCCCACGGGACACCCTTGGGGTCTGCGGCGTGGGGCTCTCCCAGAGCCACAGAAGCACCCCCACTCCCTGTTTTGGGAAGGCCGGCCCTGCCCTCCCGATAGCAGAGGGACTGGTGTTCCCTCGGTGTGGGACAGGTGAGGGGCGTGCCCCCTGCAGAGGGTCCGGTCCTCCCCCAGCTCTGGGGCTGTGTGGCCACCAGTGCCCCCTGCTGCCAGGCAGTGGATCTGAAATGAGCCTGGGTCTCCTGGGGGAGGAAAGCTCGGGTCCTTGGCGTTGACTCCCTGGGGACAGCACACTGGACCACTTTTTTAACAGAAGGAAATGAAAAACCAGGGGGTGTTGGGGGCCTAGACTCATCATTTAGTGCCCAGAGAAGGTCTTTACGTTCTTTCTCTGCTGCCCACCGGTGAATGATCCTGGGCAAGCTGGTTACCGTCGGGCTGCACCTGCTGAGAGGGGTGTGGGGAGGTGTGAGAGGAGCCTTGGTGGACTGTCCACAGTGCCCGGGCCACAGCAGGGTTCTCGTTCCCACCCGTTGCTGCTGGTGGTTAATAATAAAACCTCCTCCAAGGATCCTTTTACTGGTTTCCCCAGTGGACACAATGTCTGAAAGGTTTTTGTCTGGCAAACAACTTGCATTTATTGCTGTTTAAAATTAATCAGCCGCAGTGCCTGCTTAGATGGGTCACCAATGTGAGCACCCAGAATCGCAGTTTTTCCTATTGAAAGCCAGCATCTCTATCTCTGGTAAATTGGTGTGTGTGTGTGTGTGTGTGTGTGTGTGTGTGTTTTCAGCCTTTTTGAGGCCTGAGGAAAGGTGCAACCCAGCAGGGACCCAGAGCTCCTGGAAGGATGGTACGGATCTTGGCCAATGGGGAAATCGTGCAGGACGACGATCCCCGCGTGAGGACCACTACCTCGCCTCGCAGTAGCACCCCTCGACAGGTAGGTGCCTAGTCCCCGTAGAAGGGGAGCAGTGTCCTCTGTCCTGTGGGCCAGTTACTCCTTAGCTCCCAGAAGCTCTCTTACTGGTCATCAGCCTCTATCCTGAAGTTCTCTTTGCAGAGAGCTAGGCTGGAGAAGGGTGGGGTGTCAAAACTTGGGGAAAACCCGAGCAGATTTACTGCCCAGCCCCTTGCCTCTCTAGCCCTTCCTCCTCAGGGCAGCCTTCCCAGACGTCAAACCCAACAGCTCTCCCTCCTTTAACCTGGTTAGCAAACTCCACTGGAGCCAGCACCTTTCTTTTAAGAGTCTGTTGGGTGAGAGAGAAGCTGGAGAGGAAGTGCAGGAGATGAGCCGGCCACACGATGTGGAGTGGAGAGGGAGGGGTGCGGAGCCTAATGCCCGCCTGATCGCTCTGCCAAGTAGTCTAACCCGCCGTGACCCCTTTCTCTCTCCTCTGTGCTGGGACCTTCTTCCTGGCACCACATGGGCAGTGGGGACTGGCAGTTCCTGTGCTCTGAGAGCTTGTGACTCAGTAGCTGGAATTCCTGTGGGTGGCATCTGGGGATTGCTGAGCAAGGAGGGTGTGGCTCTGGGTGACTGGAGGGCAGGGCAGGGCCAGCCCACAGTACCTTCTGCCAGGCACCTCACCTCCAGGGAAGCTTTCTCTGGATTCATTGATTTTCTGTCTTCACCTTTCAGAGCTTTCTCAATAGGGGCCACGGTGCCCCCCTGGGGGGTCCTGGCCTCCGGCAGCAGCAGGGGGCGGCCAGGCTAGGTGCTGCTCAGTCCCCCTTCAATGACCTCAACCGGCAGCTGGTGAACATGGGCTTCCCCCAGTGGCATCTCGGCAACCACGCCGTGGAGCCGGTGACCTCCATCCTGCTCCTCTTCCTGCTCATGATGCTGGGTGTGCGAGGACTCCTGCTGGTGGGCCTCGTCTACCTGGTGTCCCACCTGAGTCAGCGGTGACCTCTGCTGGGGCCTTGGGGTGAGAGCAGGCACATGGGAGGGGATCTAGTGGTGCCTTGAAGATGTGCCCAGAAAACACCGTGTCCGCACTGTGTTACGCATGATGCAGAGGGAACCTCTAGTCCAGTAGTCCCAAAGTATCGGGTGCACACTCTCTTTCCCTTGAGATGTTTTTAGATAGTATCGGGCCCATTAAGCACAAAATCAGAGCAAGAAAGGGATTCCCTTTCCATGTTCTTCCAATCCTGTTATGCCGAGAAGACAGGCGCAGCTTGGTGCCAACGTGTCCTCGTGCCCCTGGGCACGTGCTGACTCCCGTTACTAGGGAACGGGCCGTGGGCTGAGAGCAGGCGGGAAAAGTTTCCAGACTTTTATAGCCCCGTTTTGTTTTAATGGTATTTTTTATTGGCTACCTTTTATTTATGACAGGTGGTACTGGCATTCTATTTATTGTGGTGGTGTTTTCAATAAATAAATTGAAGTAAATATGAGTCCGTATAGAGATATTAATAAATAATGGCACAGCTACACACAGATCTGGAAGACTTGGAAAAGGTGGTTGGGCATGGTTGGGATTGAGGAACGGGTCAGACATGGGCATTTGACCTTGGAGGGTAGCTCATAACTTTTTCCATAGGCGTCAGGGCCTGGGAGGGGCCCAGGCAAAGCTGGGCTGGGCCTCTTGTCTGATGCTCAGATAACTGCCAGGCTCACTCTGAGAAGCGGGGCGGGATGGCTGGTGGCTGCGGGGTCAGGACAGCTGAGGGCAGGTCCCCCTTGTCCAGGGGCTCCAACCCCTGAGGCTCTCAGCCTGACTGCAGCACATTCTCCATGGCGGGCGGGGTCTTGGCGCTGACTGCCCAGGGCCTGTGGGGTGAGACTACCTGCTTTTCGTGAGAGGAGGTTTGAGGTTTGGCTGGTGAGCCCTGGGTCCGCATGGAGGCCCTGTCGGGGGCTGAGGGCCCTGGGCCCAAAACGTCCTGCGTGTTAAAGGTCAGAGAAGCTGGGTGAACCTGAGGAGTTCCCCTCCCAGGGACCAGATCTCTCACCCTCTTAGAATCCTTTGGAGTTTGGCAGTTTGGGGGAGAAAGGCAGGATTTGGGGGTGATTCCCTAAGGCCAGTGCCGAGAGAGCAGTCACGGGATGAGGGAGGGGGAGGATGAGGGAGAAAGACTGAGATGGATTATATTCCTCCTTGACAACCTGCTGTGCTGCCCAGAGCAGAATCCTCTCCTCCAGGCCCCTGTGCCCACTGCTGCCCTGGAGGGGGCGGTGGCCTTCATCAGACCTTCCCGGGAGCTCTGTGGTGTGTCCTGTGTCTTTATTTCCTGGCGGCTGTTGGAACATGTTCCCTTTTTGATGGCCATATATTGGGGAAGGTGCTGGGTCCGTGGATGGGGGATCAGAGAAAGGGAAGGGAGGGTCTAGCTCCCAGCAGCTCCTGTGGGGCCCTGGCTGGTGTCTGGCTGCTCCCTGTGCACCTCCTGCCCTGCACATCTGCCCTCACCCAGCTGCTGCACGAAAGACAGGGAATCTCCTGCCCAGCATCTATCTCCCTCCCTAGAAACTGCCCCTCAGTTTGTGTCTCTGGCTGGGTTTCCCTCTTTTTTCCCCCTTGCAAAACTAAAGGACTCTCTGAAGAAATAATCAGAAGTGGATCCCCCTTGAGGCATATGAATTCGAGTCCACAGTTCAGGGCTGGAGACTGTTCTAGAATTGTTTCCAGTCCCCAAGTCCAAGCCCCTTGAGGAGACCCAGAGGTCCTTTAGGGAAGGCAGGAAGGAGGGGGCGGCTTGTCTCCCCGGGACGAGGACCCTGGGAGGGAGGGGCCTGGCCTCACTTCCAGGCAGGTGCTGGGAAGCAGGAGCCCTGGGCAGCTCTGACCACACGGGCAGAGGCACCCCCCTGAAACCTGTGCCAGCCGAAGGGGGCTGGGTCTCGAAGTGCGTTGTGTGAGAAAGGAGCGTTGCTGTCCTTCCTGTTGGCTGGCAGTTCCAACGCACGACACCATCCTGGCAGAGCTGCTCTGGTTCGATCGGGCTGGGGCCCGGGGGCCACCTCTTCACCCTTCTTTCCTTAACCCCCCGCCCTGTGCCCCTCGGGCTCTGGCAGAGCCGCTAACCTCTGCTCTGCCCCACAGTTCGAAGGCCCGGGTCTGAGAGTGTGCTGGGCCTGCCTACCCCACAGGTGGCGCGGGAGGGCGGGTGCCTGGGGCTGTGTGGCCCGGGTCCGCCGCCAGCTGCCCGCCGCCGCACCTCTGCCTCCCTTCCAATGCCCCTGTGCAGAAATGCTGGCCCCACTGTGTTCTGGGCAGGCAGAGAGCTCTGTCTTATTTGCCGAGGAGGGTGGGCTCTCCTCCTCTGCCACCCTCTGCCCCACCCCACCCGCGGTGACAGGGCCCCCCAGACTGGGCCGCCTTGAGTGAGGGCAGAGTTCTGGGGAGGCTTCTGCTCATCTCCGGGCTGATCCCTGAAGCTTGTCTCCGTGTCGGGTTGGATTTGCAGCCTGGCTGCCTCTGGGAGGGGCGCCACCCCCCATGTGAGCACAGAGGGATCCCCCGGGGCCTCTGCTGCCTCTCTAGGGCCGCAAAGGGGAGCCTCTCCCCTCCGAGGACCTGTTTAGACTCCCTGGTTGGGGCCACCTGCTGAGCAGAGCTACATGTGGCTCCAGCCCTGGCTGGCCAGCCTCCCGGGCCTCCTGCCACCAGTTCCAGGCCCTTTGCTGCCCAGAGAGCCTGCAGGGGTCCTCGTCCGCCTTCCCAGAGGAGACTCGAGCCGAGAGCAGGCCCCAGGTCTCCAGCCCCCTAAGGAGGCCTCTCTTGGCTGCACCCTCGGCGACTGGACCTTCTAGAACCCCGCCCTTCTGCAGAGGCAGGGGCTGGACTCCCTCTCTGGGGACTCTTGCTCTGTGAGTTGAGGAAGCAGCCTAGGTGTGGTAGGCAGAGCCTCTGCGCTCAGCCTCCCGGCCTGGCATTACCCCACCGGGCCGGCTGGGCCCCAGAGGAAGCCTGTCTGTCTGCAGGCCCTGCTCTGCTTCATGGGTCTAGGACCCTGGCCGCGAGCCTGTTCCTCTTCTCTAAGAAGGGATGGTAATCTTCGTCCCTCCTGCTCTTGTAGCCTCTGGGATCACCCCGTATGGGGGGCGAGAGAGGGGACAGAGAGCCTGGAGGAGGCGCTGCACCAGCCCCCGCCCCTCCTCCACCGATGCCCCTCCCGCTGCAGTGTCCCAGGCCCCTCGGAGCCGGCTGTGTTCTCAGGACCAGCGCTGTCCCCTCCCCAGCTGCCAGAGAAGGACGGCAGCTGCTGCTCCGTGCTCCCTGAAGCTGAGTGGCTTGTTAAGGGTCTCAGAGTCAGGACAGGATGAATTTACTGCAAATGTGTGCACCTGACACTACGCAAAGCAGTTGACATCATGTAATCGTCACCGGAACTTTATGACTCAGGTGCCATCACTGTCATCTTTGTTTCACTGCTGGGCACACCGGAGAGCATTTGTCACTTGCCCAGGACCCTGAGCGGGCTGGGGCTGGACTAGGTTTCAAACTGAGGCCAAAGCCTGCATTCTCGACTACGCCTCTACTGTGCGTTGGCTGTTTGCCAGCATCACCTGCAGACTTGCTCCAGATGCGATCCCCAGGCCTGACGAGTCTCAGAAGTGCTGAGGGATAGGCAAGGCCTGCCTCTTACGAAGCCATCCGGGTGATTTTGATGGGGGAGAGGGAGGGCCTGGTCAGACCCTGTGCAGAGTGTGCCAGTGGCCCATAGGGAAGAGGGAGGGGGTGGACACAGGCCTCACTACCTGCTGGGACCACTGGGACCCTCAGGTCATCTCTGAGAGGGCACAGGGTGGGTGTGAGGATGCTGGTCTCCATGGCTTCCCAGCTGTGGGCCGCAGCCCCTGCATCCCTGAACACATGACGATTTCATCGCAAACTGACAAGGGGAGAGATCCAGCGACCTGGCTCAGGGTCCCCGAGGGCTGTGCAGGGCCGGTGCAGGTCGAGGTGGGGGCAGCGGAGGACTTTGCTGCCACAGCTGTATGGAGAGACAAGCCTGCGGCCTGCCCACGGGCATCAGGGGAGAAGCCAAGCTCAGCCCTCCTTGCGCTGCCACCCAGAGCCCCAAGGGCAGCAGGAGAAGTTCCAGGAGGTGAGTGTGCTGATGGCACTGCAGAGGGGTGTGTTTAACCCTCTGGTTTGGAGGTGGGGGATGTGCCGAAACCACTTGGCGTTAGGGACCCAGAGCTTGGGAAGAAGAGGAAGCTGTCCAACATGAAGCCTGAGCCTTTAGGCCAAGGGCCTCAAGTGTGGGGGTTGCTGAGCACTGGGTGGGGAAGGAGGGCTGGTGTGTGCATGTTGGGGGGCACTGCAGGAGGCCAGATCCCCCTCCAGTTAACCAGTGAGCTCGGGCACAGTCCACACTCTCCCTGCCCCTCTGCATACTGTCTGTACCTCCCAGGGGCCGAGGATCCAGTACATTAATTCATGGGAAGCACTTGGCAGTTTCTGGCACCAGGGCAGCCCTTGATAATACCATATTCACAAAGTAGTGGCTTTAGGGTTTACAGGTATATTTCTTTAGAGCAACTCGCATTTTACTTAAACATATATATATATATATATATTTAATCCTCACCCGAGGATATTTTTCTATTTATCGTCAGATAGAGTGGGAGGGAGAGAGAGAGAAATATTGATGTGAAAGAGACACATTGACAGATTGCCTCCTGCATGACCCGGACCCGGGCCAGGGACGAATCGCAACCAAAGTATGTGCCCTTGGCCAGAATTGAACTTGTGACTCACTGGTCTGCAGGCCAACACTCTACTGCTCAGCCAAACCGGCCAGGGCTAAATCTGTTTTCAAAAGGAAGCCTCATGTTGCTATTGTAAATAAAAAACCAACATTACTTATGATTTATAGGTATTAGTACAAGTAAATTCAGTGCAGAGAAAAGAACATGATTCCATCACAGCCTCTGCTGTTGGCCAGGGCTCTAAGCCTGGTCCTGCTTTCTTTGTTGAGCAGGATTCAGAGAGGTGCTCGAGACCCGCGAGCGTCTCACTGAGACACTGTCCTCGATGGATTCAGAGGACTACAGAGAAACGAGAAGGGAATGACTGTTCCACCGTATGACCCCATGCGGTGTCTGTGACTGGTTTGCGATCACCTGCACCCCACCCAGAGCGCTTTGCATCCCACCAGGTGAAAGCAGCTCACAGCTGTGGGAAACACTGTGTGACCTTGGGCAAG